GGGGGGGGGCGGCGGGGGGAGGGCGAAGGGACGGTCACCGTCATCGCGGGCGAGCAGCAGCGCGATGTACCAACCGCCCTGCAGGAAGGCGGACGGGTCCCGCAGCTCCCGCTGGGTCCGCACGGTGCCGGAGCGCGGGTCGAGCTGCAGCCATCCCGCAGGGTCGTACAGCAGCGCGTAGCTGTCGGCGTCGGGGCGAGGAACGCCGGCGTTACATTGCGCGCCCTCTCCACGTGCGCACCCGAAGACGCCGCGCGTTTCCCCCCCCCCCCCCCCGCACCGCCCACCCCGCACGCTCACGTCAGGGTCTGCAGGCGGCGCGTGTCGGGGTCGCTGGCGGTGTAGGTGGTGACGGCGGTGCCCGGGGGGGTCCCTTCCAGCACGCTGACGCGCCGCGGGTTCTCGCGGAAGACGGGCGCCTCGTTGACGTCCCGCACCCGCACCCGCACCGTGGCCACCGCCCGCGGGCTGCTCGCGACCCCCGCCTCCAGCGGCCGCTGGTTCTGCACCGACACCGTCAGCTGGAAGCGGTCCCGCACCTCGTGGTCCAGCGGCTGCGCGGGGTGGGAGGGGGGAGTGCGGGATCAGCGGCTGCGCCGTGCCTGCCCGCGTCCCCAAAGCCCGCCGCCCTGCTGCACACCTTGGCCACGGACAGCACGCCGTCGTTGGTGTGGGGGTCGGTGCGGATGGCGAACGCCCCCTCGGGGTCGCCCTCCAGGATGGTGAACTTGGCCGCCCAGTTGGCAGATCCCGCCAGGTCCTTATCATGCACCAGCACGCGGCCCACCTCCACACCCACCGCCTGCTCCTCCACCTCCATGGAGAACTGGGGGAGAGGGAGAGGAGTCGGCACCAAGCGGGGGGCTGCGGCCCCACACCCAGCCCAGCTCTGCCCACCTCCTCCTTGGTGAACTCGGGAGCGTTGTCGTTGATGTCCTCCAGGTAGATGACGGCGGTGGCGGTGGTGGTCAGCCCATCCCCGGACATGTCAGCTGCCTGGAGGGTCAGGTTGTACACCCCCACGGCCTGCGAGGAAGGGGATGGCACTGAGCCCACAGTCCGTGGAGCCCCCCCCCCCCCCCCATCTGGCCCCACACATGGCTGTGGAATCCCCCCCACACACACACCTCACGGTCCAGGCCATCCTTCGCGGTGCAGATCTCCCCGCTGGAGGCGTTGATGCTGAACATTTCCCCATGGCCCTGCTCCAGGATGGAGAACCGCAGCGCCGCGTTGTCCGTCTCGGGGTCGTCGGCATCAGTGGCCTCCACCGTCAGCACGCAGGTCCCTGCCGTCACCACGGGGCTGGGGGACCACTTATGGGGCCGGGTTGCGCCCCCCCCAACCCATCGACCCCCCCCCAGCTCAGACCCACCTGGTGCAGCCCCCTCCACCACACGCCCGGTGAAGACGTCGTGGCGGAACAGTGGCCGGTTGTCGTTCTGGTCCACCACGATGATCTCCAGGTCCGTGGGGTCCTCCAGCGTTGTGCCCCCCAGGTCCAGCGCGAAGGCCTTCAGCTGTGGGCACGCAGAGCCGGGCTTGGGGATGCAGCTGAGAGCAGGGGGGGCACAGGGCTGCGCAGCGTCCTTACCCGGAACCGGTCGTTCTGCTCGCGGTCCAGCGTGGCGTTGAGGAACACTTTGCCACTGAACTTGTCGATGGAGAAGATGCCCAGGGGCTCCTCATCCACCCCCGGCCCCTTGATGCTGTAGATCACCCCCCCGGGCTGCTGCTTGTCTGACTTTATCTGTGCGGGGAGGAGCGGCAATGGGGCTGGGGGCTGTCCTCCCCCATGCCATGGGGGTCTTTCCATCCCCTCTGGCCCTGCCTACCTGCACCAGGAGGTGGGGGATGCGTTTGTGGTTCTCGGAGATGCTGATGGGGGGGATCACCCAGGCCCTCTTCACCCGCCGGGACCCCTCGTGGTGCCGCCAGCTGGGTGGGCTGCCCAGGGCTGCACTGGCATCCTGCAGGGGGGGAACGTTGGGGAAGAAGAAGAGTTACGTGTTTGCATGGGTCAGGAACACAGGGCTGGGGGGGTAGGGAGGCGTGGGGGCTACAGAGGGGTTAGGAAGAGGAGCGGGGGCTACAGAGGGCTGCAGGGTGGTCACAGTGAGGTGCAGAGCTGCGCTGTGGGGTCTGCAGAACTCAGCAGTGAGGCTGAGATGGGGCTGACCCACAGCCCCCTTTGTGGGAGCTCAGGACAGGTGGGGAGGGGGTGGCAGTGCAGTGGGGGACAGCCACGGTGTGACAGCCCCCCCAGGACTGTTAGGGCCCAGACCAGAGCCCCAGTGGCCTCACAGTACTCAGGGCTGAAGCCATACTGAGGAGCTCCACACAGGCAGTGGGGTGGGGGGGGG